TGTAATCTTTAATGAATATAAAATAAGTTTGGGATCGAGTGGAGAAAAGGAATTAAGTTTATAATGGAAAGAGGAAAAAAAGTGGAATTGGACGAGGAAAGATATTAATTTTCACCTCATATCATTTGCTCATTATAATCTATAAGATGGAATTTTTTCTTCAATTTAGTTTACTGCATAAACCAATTTGGTAGCTGCTGAAGCCAAAGGCTTAATGTTGACATATCTTTGGTAAATTATTGATGTAAATGCTTTGGAGGACTTTCTTGGTGGGATATTGAAATAAATTTTTTATTACAATGCTAAGAATTTGTTTAGATATCTTTGTATATTATATCAACTTGTTTTAATTACTTTCTAATTCTTTTTGCATGAACATGATTACTTATCTTGCAGCTCTTAAAGGATCGTAATTACATAAGAAGATCAATCAACGTACTATCCAGAATAACTCGACATGATTTTAGGTTACTATTTGTAATTAGTTTTTTTTTAGGTTACTATCAATAATTAGTTTTTATGCTGTTGAAGACTTTGGTTTTCATTGTAATTAATCTTGAACTAGATTTTACAATTGTTCACTTTCGCATTAATGTGAATTGCAAGTTTAAGAAGAAATTTTTTTTGGCTTATTATGTATTTGTTGTTTATATGCTTGTGGACGGTTGTTTGGTATGTAATTTTATTTGATTGTTATTAGTGTATTAAATGTGAATTTTTACAGGAAAACAATGGACCAAAGCATATTTTTATTTTATTTTTTTTTATAAAAAAAACACTTTCAACAAGGTGCAAGTTGACCTTGTAAATTTTCAAAAAAAATTAATACAAGACAAAACAAGATGTTGTGAATGCGGATAATCACAACGACCATATAATTCTTGTAATTGTCTCCAAGCTACTCACAACATAATTGAAACCTTGTTAAACATATTATCTACAACCTACAAAAGACCTTGTTAATGCTAAATATATTTATAAGACACCATGAAACTTTGTAAATATTATATCCACAACGGGTACACTTCTTCTTTTACAAGGTACCTTGCATCTTGTAAAAGGGATAAACTTTTAACAACATGGGATTCAACAACATACAACTACACGTTGTAAATTACTTTTTACAACGCAAATAGGTCCTTGTAAAAAGTCTTTATTCTTGTAGTGTTAACACATTAAATTACACAATTTAAATACCATAAAGATTAATTATAACCTATTGCTTAATTTAATATTTCCTATCAAATAACAAATCACAAGAGTACAATAAAATTTACATATTTTAAACCCATGTCATTGTTCCCAATCTTTGTAAACATGTTCAGGATCAATTATACTCAAATCAAGGTTATTTGGAACACTTTTAAAGAAAACAGGTTCCCAGAGCTTGAGCACAACCCCCTGTGCTCAAGCATAACTCTAGTACTCGAGTACTGTGCGTTGGAACAGTGTTGTGCTCGAGCACAAAGTTGTGGGACAGTATTTGTAGATATGTTTTTGCCTCTAAATCAATAGTTCAGGTCCGAAAACGTTACTTTTAAGTCCTATATGATCACCAATGATATAAACAATGAAAATATACAAGATCCAATAATTTAAAAACAAGTTTTATGTATTAAATAAAAGAATCCATCAAGTTGAAGAATGAATAAATATAAACATGAAATCCCTTAATTCAATTCATGCATAGCAATTAGTTGTTCTATTTAATTCTCTGATTTAATCCCTAAAGAGAGACTAGAGATTCAAAGGGGAAGATATAGATAAAGAACTTTCCTTACAATTTTTGGATTAAAAATCAACTATACAAACTCTCTGGTCTTCTTCTTTAATTAAGCAACTTTCAAGCTATCTCCGGTCACATTCTTCTTCCTCTTCTCTCTCTCTCTAGATCTCTGCCTCTTTTGTAACTCACGTATATGTAATCTTCTAACTACTATATATATATATATATATATATATATATATATATATATATACACTAACCCACAAATCCTAACCTAAGGCTAACTATAATAATAATAACCCCATACGTATTATTTTACCAATTCAATATCCACATTAAATAATTTAAAATAACCTAATTAACCAATTTAATCAAATAGTCACTTAATCATTTAATAAGAATAATTAGTTAAATAAAATAATTAAAATTTAATTAAAATAATAAATTAAATGGTTTAAAAATTAAGAGTATTACATCTTAAACAATGGATGTTTAAGAGGGGGATGAAAGAACAAATTCAACAGGGGTGCTTGGTGTGGACACCTCAAACGGATGAGTATCTTCTCGGACTGTATTATTAATCAATATTTCGTGAGTTCATATCTTTGCCAGAAGAGAAGCAGTAGAGACAAAAAAAAAAAAAAAAAAAAAAAAAAAAAAAAAAAAAAAAGCGGCGAAACTCAGTTTTATAGAAAGAATCATTCTAAATATTAACCCATTTCTACAACAACTTTGAGTTTTACCTATCTTTTTTTCTTATTTCATTTAATGTCTCTTTTGTTTCTCTTCCAGCAAAGCAAACATATGAACCAACCAAATATTGATTAATAATAGATTTTTATTTATTTTTATTTTTACCTTTTTGAGTAATGTTAGTTTAGGAAAATTTTAAATGGGGAGAAAAGTGGATCCATTCGCAAAGTCGCAATTCGAATTAGCTATGAAAGTAAGTGGGAGATTATTGGGATTTGTACGTCTTGACATAACAAATTCTTACTTGGATTATATGAACATTGTTCCTTATCTGAAATGATATTTATGTATCACACAATTGCAGAATGCGAATGTATTATGTTTCAGTTCATTATGATATTGAATGTATTCACTTGATTGTAAGAGATATTTATATGTATTTGATGGTACTCAATACAAGAATATAAATAGCGATCATAAATAGTTCGTAGTCAGTAATTAAGGATGAACTCTTAATTAATTAAGACTTGAACTGAATCCGCGATATGTTAGATATATTGTAAGAGTCATCATATGCAATTACTCCCTGTCATCGTCATGACATTTGACTCTCAAGTATGAGAGAAATATATACTCTTTTATTAATTAATAATTACTTTAATTCGTTTGACGGAACTTCCAGGATCTCATGATCGACACTTTAGGTAATTATATAATTAATAATTAGATTGTTATTTTTTTAATATTTATATCGTTACTACTTGTATTTATTTTATATTAATTATGTAATTAATATTTATTTTGTATTGATATTGAAGGCCTACTAAATTGAAGATAACATTTTAATTGTATAGATTGAGAATTACACACACACCATGTGACTATAAATACATATATAAATTTGTATTATTAGTTAGCTTATGAGACATCATTAATGTGTGAAACATAAATATTTATTTTTAAAATTTTAAAATATTTGTTCTCGTCTAAATGGAGGCTCCCACAAACTATCCATCCAAGATCTTTCGCGAAGGCATACAGGTGTTTCTTAAAGACAAGACTACCATGATGATGCATCTATTTGGGATGTTAAAGTTAAAGTCCATAGCAACCAGAATTGAACTATGATCAGAATTGGACCACGTTCTCTGGCATGTTATCATTATTGTTCTTGTTGTCCTCTCCTTGATGGGTTAATGGTTTTATTCCTTTTTTAAATGGAGCCTTACTTTATTAAAAGTTTTATTGTCCATTTTTTAGATATTGGTAACATCTGATGAGTTTTCTGTCTTTTATTAATTAATTATTGTATTTTTTATCATTATTGGACCATTTTTTTTTGTTGTCGTCTTCTCATTATTGTTTCTACAATAATGCCTTTATTGTGTCGGCCAACGAGCTTTTGTAATGTGTATACCCCTACTTTTTGATGGGACCATATGATGTGCTAAAAAAACAACAAAAAAACCTTCGAAAAAATCCAAAAGCAATTTATTTACTTTTACTAAGATATTGTCCAAAGCAAGTTATTTACTTTTACAAAACTTTTAATTGTATTTAGAACATCATAAAATACAATATTAATGTCGGTGACTGTCAAGTCTCTTGAGCCCTAAAAGGTTCACAATAAAATAATCTTTAAATTAATTTAGTAATCTTTAAAATTTTGGTGTGACCCATATTATTGACTATCAATAATTAAGTCGTTGTATCAAGTCAAAAGAGATTTCATATGTATGTAAATGCAAGGTAAAATATTACCAGACATGCATTCTTCCGGCCAAAATATATGTGCAAGAATATTATTTTCATAATTTCACACCTTTATTTCATTGCACCTATACATACAAATAGTATATATATATATAAATATATATGGCCAAAATATATGTGCAAGAATATTATTTTCACAATTTCACACCTTTATTTCATTGCACCAATACATACAAATAGTATATATATATATATAATGGGCTCTTATGTTTAGAGAATGACAAAGTTTAACACGACTTTTCAATACGTATGACTCGAACACAATACAAGTTAGGTGAGTTTAGATTGACCTTAAATGAATTCAAATTATAAATGGGTTGACACAATCAATCAATAGTTAATCTTGTCGTGTTTAAGTTGAGGAGTTCAACTCATGTATCCGGTTTTTACTTGTTTAATCAGACGTGTTATAAAAAAATTCTATTTAAATTTCAAAATAACTATCAAAAATTGTATCTTATAATTTTATTTTTATTTTTTTTGTAATTTAGAGATTATTTAGTAATTTAGTTTGATTAAAAATTATATATTTTTAATATTTATTATTTGATTGAAAATTATTAATAATTTAAATAATATAATATTTTATTTTATTAAATACATTTTTATACATAATTTATTTAATAAATAAGTCAGATAGATCATATTCGGGCGCACTTTAGTAAGATACTCGTAGACTTTACAAACACGATTATATGGAATACGAATTGGCTCAGTATTGCTCAATATATATATATATATATATATATATATATATATATATATATATATATAAAGAGGACAAAATTTCATTGCAGAAGTAGAAACATCATGAGTGTATTTTGTAAAAGTAAAGTAAAATGGAGTCCCCCAGTAGAAGTAAAATGGGGTCGACTAGTAGAAAAAAGATCCACCTCAATCATTAGGTTATTGTATCAAGCCAAGGCGGGAATTGATGTGTGTGTGAAGGCGAAGGGAAAATATTGCCAAACGTGCATTCTGTACGCCAAATCATATATGCAAGATTATGAGATCGGAGAAAAATTACGATCAGAAGCAAATGGCTTCTGTTGTAGCAGCGACGGAGAGAAGCTCGGATCAGTGATTCTGGCAAAAATATTAGGTACAATTTTTCCTTTCTTTTCTTGATATATATATATATATATATATTATGCTCAACAAAATAAATATATCCTTTTGCAGAGGTTTTTCAAAACTGACATGAAAATCTTTGAATTTTTCTTACCTTTTGATGTGAGAAAGAAAAATAGTTTTTCCTTACCTTTTGACGTGGATCCCATAAATTTATATATGTGTATATAACATGTTCTGATTTTTGTATATAAGAAGTCTTTATTAATATAAAGAAATAAAGATTAAAGAACAACATCAAAAGGACAGAATTCATATATAATTGCATAATGTATAATAGACCTTTAAATTAATGTACAAATGAGAAAGAGGATAAAGAATAAAAGATGAGTCAAATGGGTATACTCTGATGATAAGGGTGTCATTTTAAGTTCGAATTTTTTATGACATTGAGGTTGACCATATTTTACTATGTCGATTTGTTACAAAAGATGTAAATTAGAAGGGAGACAACATATGGAGGTCCGTGTAATTGGGAAGTAAGTGTTATTTATCCTATTATATTGAGGTTTGATACGGACAACTTTCTTATTTGTCCAGCGATTGAAACATGTCCTTACTTGTTAGTTCAATTTTTCTTTAATTTTGGCAATTAGGTTAACTTTGCAAAGACCCTAATAAGAGTTTGAAACATGTCCTTCCTCATTGCCATCCATGGATTACATGTTAAGATTTATATTATAATTATCATTGAATTCATATAAAATGGCAAATTACACTAACACCTCTTCTGGTTAAGTCAAATATAACGTAGATGAACACCAATTCCTTGTTGGACAAGAGTTTGCCTACCAAGGAATTTTCGTATCAATCCTGCTCAACAACTTCCCAAAAATTGGAATAGGAAACTAATTCATGCATATGCGCAACCGGTTCCTATAAAGTGCAACCACATCCGCTAAAGTGAATTGTTGTTCCAAGTTCCAACCATTCTGCCCAAGCGCAATTGGTTCCACTAAATCGCAACCGGTTGCACTTTTTCATAATGGGATTCTCCACCAGAATTTGAGTCACAACTCTAACATCACCACCATCGTGGACCGCATCAATACTCATTGGAGTTTTAAATATTACAATTGCAATTGTTATTCATTATTTTCGTGTCCTATTTTCTCCAATAACGAAGTTTTTTCTTTATTAATATATATGTGTGTGTTCTAGTCGAAAGGTGAAGAAGAAGTAGGTACTAGGTACTTTGGTCAATAGTTTTATTTTTATATATTGTGATGAGACATGGCGTTATCATGGACCACATCAATACTCATTTTCTTCGATGATGAAGCTTTTTCTTCGTCTGAGTGTGTGTGTATATATATATGTCCTAGTCGGAAGGTGAAGAAGCATTAGGTAGGGGTACTAATTGTTGGTTAATAGTTTTATTTTTAGGGAAAATTATAGAAAAGTGGAGTTTTGAGAGTATTCACCTAGAGATGAAGTCAAAGTCAACACTTTTCAAAGTCATGGATTTTTACCAAAATCTGATGTGGACATGGAAAAACGTTGTTCATTTGTCTAAACTACCTTTAGTGCATTCGAGTACCACTTTTGTGGATGTAAGTACCACTTTTGTGCATGCATGTTCTATTTTTGTGCAAACCAAGTAATCAAAATGGTCTGCACAAAAAGTGGTACCTTTGTGCACGATAGTGTTACTTACATGCACAAACGTAGTACCCTAGACAAGAGTGGTACTTACCTACACAAGTGTGGTGTCCCTAATTACAAGAGTAGTACTTATATACAAAATTGGTATCTCTGTACACAAGAGTAGTACTTACATGCACAAAAGTGGTACTTAGAAATAGTAATGGTAGTTTAAACAAATGAGTAGTATTTTTTCATGTCTACATCAGACTTTGGTCAACACCCATGACTTTAAAAAATATTGACTTTGACTTCATCTCAGTATAAATAAACTCCCAAAACTTCACTTCTCTGTATTTTTTCTTTTTTTAATTTTATTTTTATACAATGAGATGAGACAAGGCATTAATTTAAGAGGTATTGGTTGTTTAATTTGGCCTATCGGTATGGGTTGTACGCATGTTTTGGACATTCACTGCTTTGGACAGTCTAGGGGACTTTCTATATAAAGTGTGGTATAAATCTTATAGGCATTCATCGAGACATTCAAGAGAGCCTCTCTCTTCTTATATATAAAACTATACATACACGGTCTCTCTCTCTCTCTCTCTCTCTCTCTCTCTCTCTCTCTCTCTCTTCTTGTATGTAAAACTATACATGCTTCCATTTCTAAGACCCATTTCCATCACCAATACCACGGAATTAACTACTCTCTCTCTTGTTGATTACACATTGCAGATTGAGTTTCAAAGGAGATAAGAAATGCAGGACGAGTAAGGGAGATCGATCAGGATGGTATTTGCTGAAATCGGTAAATGTGTTTGGGAGATAATCGGTGACCCAGTTAATCGTGAGATTGGTTACTTGTTTAACTATGATGATAATATTAAGAACATTCATGTGGAAGATGAGAAGCTTGGTTGTCTGAAAAAAAGGGTGGAAACGGCATTTAAGGCCGCCACAAGGATTGGGGAAGATACTGAAGATGGTGTCGAGAAGTGGCTTAAAAATGTGGATACTATCACCTCCGAGTTCAAAACGCTTTTGGAAGACGAAGCAAAGGTGGACAAGAGCTGCCTAGGCGGATGGTGCAACTGCAGCTCCCGATACCAGTTTAGCAAAAAAGCAAAGCAGAAAACTGATGAAATTACTGACCTCTATAAAGAGGGCTGCGAATTCCAGATTTTGTCTGGCCCTGCTCTACCACCAGGAAATGAAGCTTCTTCAAGCAAAGATTTTCGCACTTTCCAAACAAGAGCATCAGTCACAGAGGAGATTATGGATGCTTTGAAGGACGACAACACTCACATCATTGGAATTTGTGGAATGGGAGGCGTGGGCAAGACGACACTAGTGAAGGAAATTGGCATATGTGCAGAAGAGAGAGAGCTATTCGGCCAGGTTGTGATGGCGGTTGTTTCTCGAAATCCAAGCGTGACAGAGATCCAAAAGGAAATTATAGCAGACATGCTAGGCAAGAAGCTAGATAACAATGTCAGTGAATCACCGAGAACACAGTTATGGCAAACAATAAAGGCCAGGAAGAAACCAGTTCTGGTAATACTTGATGATGTTTGGGACAAACTTGATCTGGAGGCTGTTGGCATTCCTTTCGGGGATGATCATAGGGGTTGTAAAATTGTGTTAACCACTCGAAGCCGAGAAGTTTGCAATCAAATGGGAGTTCAAAAGATTGTTCATGTCAATGAGTTGCTGAGACCAGAAGCATGGATCTTTTTCAAGGAGATGGCCGGTGAAGCTGCCGATTTGAATCCCAATGCAAGAGATGTATCAGATGAATGCAGTGGTGTGCCACTTGTTATTGTGACAATCGCTAGAGGGTTGAAAAATAAAAATGAGTACGTGTGGGCTAATGCGGCTCGACAACTGAGGAGGTCAAACCCAAAAAACATCCCCGGACTGGAAAAAGCTGTGTATGCCAAATTGGAGTTGAGTTTCGATTATCTGGATAGCGAGGAGGCCAAATATTTGTTCTTACTCTGTTGCTTGTTTCCAGAAGATCATAACATTCCGATTGAAGACTTGACGAGATACGCCATGGCGCTGAGGATGTTTGAAGATGTCAGCACCATTGAAAATGCAAGAGGTAAAGTCTATGCTGTGGTAAGTACCCTTATTGATTCTTTTATGTTGTTAGATGGTTCTAAGAAAGGGTTCGTTAAAATGCATGATGTTCTTCATGGTGTTGCAATATTTATTTCGTCTAAACATGAGAAGTACCGGTTTAAGGTTATGGCTGGACTGAGAGATTGGCCAGACGCAGAAACATTTGAAAATTATTCAGCCATCTCATTGATATCAAATGATATTAATGAGCTTCCTGGGGAGCTACAAGCCCCAAACCTCCAGACTTTGCGACTACAATGCAATTCTCAGTTGCAAATTCCAGATGATTTCTTCCAAGGATCGAAAGATCAATTAAAATTTTTGGAAATGAGCGGTATCCATTTCTTGCCCATACTTCCACCATCACTTCAACCGCTTTCTAATACCCTTCGAACCCTTCATCTAACTTCTTGCAAGTTGGAGGACATATCTATGATAGCAACACTACATAAGCTTGAGATTCTCAGCTTTTGTGGTTCTGAAATTGGTGAAATTCCTGATGATATTGCCAAATTGGCTCATCTCAAACTCCTTGATTTGACCAACTGTGAAAAACTTACCAAAATAGTACCAGGCGTCATATGCAAACTTCCTAAATTAGAGGAGCTATATTTGCCAGAACTTTTTAAGTTCGACAATCTTGTTGAGCTAAATTCCTTGTCTCAATTGGTTTGCCTGCAAATTTTGATTCCAATGGATCTGTTGCATATAGATTTACATGAGCGCGCGAGAGTGTTAACAAGCTTCAACATAATAATTGGCATTGGAAAAGAATATAAGATTCGCCAAGTATACAAACCTCATCCTTATGTATGCATGGGAAGCTTGAGAATTTGCCATGATGGGCCAATACAATCATTATTGTCGGATTGGGTTAAGTTGCTGTTAAAGAAGACTAAGCATCTAGTTTTGGACCACTTGAAGGATTTCAAAAATATCTTCAGTGAACTAAATGAGGAGGGATTCAATGAATTAAAGTCTCTTGAACTCAATTTCCTTGAAGAGACGAAATATCTGGTGAACACAAAGGAGTGGACACCGCAGGTGGCCTTTCGCAGGTTAGAAGTTTTGTCGATTAACACGCTATACGGCTTCATTGAAGTATGCCCTGGCCAACTCCCGGACAAATCTTTCTGCAATGTACGAGAACTACATGTGCGTTTCTGTAAGCACATGCTGAAACTGGTTTCATCCAGTTTGCTAGTAAGGCTAAAAAATCTTGAGAAGCTGTGTGTCATGGATTGTTATAAGCTGGTACATGTTTTTGAAGAGCATGTAGTTAAAGAAGAGTTAGTGTTGCTCTCAAAGCTGAAAGAAATCGATCTACGTCATTTGTACGCGATGACGCATGTGTGGAAGAACGGCCCCCATCAATTTATTAGCCTTTGTAACCTTGAGAAGGTCCGTGTGAGTTATTGTACCAAGTTAACAAAGTTATTCTCTCCAAAGCTATTACGAGGGCTTGTTCGCCTGAAATACCTCCATATTATTCATTGCGATAGTTTGGAAGTATTATTTGGACATGACGAGGAACAAGATACGGAGATAGCAGTCCCTTGCTTGAGAAGCCTCACACATTTAAGGGTGGATAATTGCTATAATTTAAGATGCCTTTTCTCAACCTCCGTCGTTCAAGGTGATCTCGAGAAACTCAAGAATTTGGAGGTATTCTGCTGCAATGCATTGCAATATGTAATCGAGGATAAGAAAGGAAAACAAGAATTGGCTCCAGTTGAGAAGACGATTGTATTCCCTTTCTGGTCCTCGATGTCACTTAAACATCTGTTCAATTTCAAGAGTTTCTGCACCGGACTCTATACTATTGAATGGCCATCTCTGGAAGTGCTGGATATCCAATCTTGTCCCAACATCCAGACTTTTGGTGATGGAGTCCAAGTAACACCCCGACTGAAGGAAGTGAAAGATGATTCAGGGTCGCCAAAGATTGTGATCGATGGGGACCTTAATGACGCTGTGAAAAAATACTTCAAACTGCAGGTACGCATCATTGAGCTTATATAATTGGCTTGCATGCATGGACTGTATAGATTATATATATATATTTCTCTGTGGACACGACACAATTGTTGTGTATGTACGTTCCTCACAGTGGGATGGTTTTTCAGGCATCAGCTCCGGAGGCACCTGGTACCAGTCACTCTTCCCCGTAAGGCATGGCACACTTGAAGACTCGGTCGGTGTGTGATCAGGTTTGTTCTTTGCCAATTCTCCAATCTAATTATAGGTTGCAGTTCAGTATTAGCATTGAAAGTAGGAGCTTGGTGATGATTTCCAACTACCCCTTTCTGTTGCTGAAAGAAAAAAAAAAACGAAGAAAAAAAAAAAAGAAAAAAGAAAAGAAAAGGTATTTCATCTCCAGCAGGCATTTATATATTATTCCTTTTGTTATTATCTTCTTTCTTGTATTGTAGTCCTTTGGTTTGCTTCATTATATTTGCGACCGTGTGTTTATTACTTGTATAAACCAGTATTGTATCTCAGTGGAATATTTTATGTATAAATTTGTTTTTTTTGTTGTTGTTTTAATAAAGTTGTTGTTTTTGTTGTTTTAATAATGTTGTTGTTTTACTAATAAGCATGAAGTTTTTTTTTTTTTTTTTTTCTTTACCTGGATGATTTAGTAAATATGAAGTTAGTTAGTTATGTCGGTCGTATGATGGTTGTTTTTATCCCAAATTGAAGAACTATGGTATATGGAAGAAATTTGAAGTAAATGAAAGAGAAGGAAAACAAAGGACAGATTTAAATCTGTTTGTTTGTTTGTTTTTTTTTTTTTAATATATATATATATAATTTAAGTACAACATGAATTTATAGGGGAATATATAAGATATTTACAAGATAAGTACAACATGAATTTATAGGGGAATATAACTTTTTCTCTCGTATCTCTCTAACCCTTCAGTCGCCGCCCCTTCGTTCTCTCCCTTCTGTTTGCTGCTCACTCCCTCCCATGGGAGTGGGGAGGTGCTGATCTTTGCCACCCACCGCTTAATAAACTCGGCGTGTTGTAATAAGTTTGCTCGATAGGTGGTTTTACGCTGTTTTGCTGCAAAACATTTGGCTGGTTTTTTGGCTTGACGGGGTAGATCTGTTGTTTTGTTTCGGACTAGATTTTTGATCTATGCTGGGTTTTGTTGTTCCCGTCTTTTTGTGCGTGGTTGGGTGGTTTTCCCCAGTCGGTGGCGCCTTATGGATGCAGCCTTGAAGTTATTGCATTAATGATGGCTTGACCTTTAGGTCACTCCCGTTGCGGCTCTTCTTCCGCTATTACATGTTGACTTGTTTCTCAACAAATCTCGAGCCAGTCATACAGGGGAATATATTTCACCTTTTATTTTGAAATGACTTTGATATGAATATGGATCATATGGTCCGACACTTGAAACATATGCAAAAGCTAAACAGATGATCAACTCACAACCTGAAATGTTAGAACATATTACATAATATATGGAGACCCAAAGCAATCCATACCAATCAAGCTGAAGTGCATTTAAATATAAATTATAAAAGCACCTTACTGTAAAAGTAATGGGCATATTGACATTACAATATATGTTCGTGTATATATATATATATATATATATATGCACACACAGAGAGTGAGATTGAGAGAATCAAAGAAATCAAATGTTGAAGCTTCAAAGATGTTGATTGTATAGTCTATAGATTTCACTTTCAATTCACATTTGCTGATTTAATAAATTACCTAAACACAATTTTCAATATGTTCTAAAAATAACTAAAATTTAAGTTAAATTTTTTTTTAAAAATATGCTCCATATTTAATTAGTTCAGAAAAACTCAAATTGAAGTACTACTTCATTTTATTTCAAAATTCACACACGAAATTCCAATTAAAGAAATAAAAATGAAGTAATACTTGCACTAGCGGATTGAATTAGGATTGAGGAATTCCAATGCTAAATAATATATTTGCAAGATTAAAGAAGATAAGTAAACACCGTTAAATTTGGAAAAATTGAGTTGAAATAGAGGGTTGTTTTGGTTTTTTTGAAGAAAGAGAGGTATTTTAGGGTTCTTACAGGGGAGGGAATAGGGATGAAGGGGCAGTGAAGGCACTCGCCATTCTCTCCCCTCTTTCTCCCTCTAAAAAGAAAGAGATTTTACTGTTAATTTATAGCTTGTGGTTGAGGACAGAGGCTTTGTTGCTTTAAGGCTAAAATAGTCGTTGGGTTGGGCCAACTGTACTGGCCCAAATTTATTCTGGCCTATAGTACAGATAAATTTGATTGGGCTTCCTGAGCTATGCTGAAGTTTAGATTGTCCAGACCAACACTATCATGAGATGAGGTGTGAAAATAAAATAAAATAAAATAAAATAGTAACAATTACAATATTAAAATGCTCTTTTAATGTTAAAAATCTTTTTCACATACATGCTAGGTATGTAATGTATTGAGTATTTTAAATTCTAAAATAACCCAAATGTATTTATAAATTTGGAAATTTCGACTTGAATTTATTTTATGAAAATTTTAGTCTTGTATGCTATATATAAAAAATAGCAAAGAGTGTCGTGTAACCTCAACGAGTCAATGGTTATAAAAAAATATTAAACATCAGTTATGTCTTCTAGTTGGGGTGAGTTGTTGTTGTGGGGCTGTTGTGCAGATTCACCATAATATATATATATATATATATTTCTCGAATTGGATGGAAGATGAATTAGTGAAGAGTATTTTTTTATATTTTTTATTTTTTTATATAGTATGTGTATCGGTTTTATAATATATACATCATTCAAATTAGAAGTAGAATTCAAAAACAAAATTTTAATGACTTATTTTTTGAATCTCTATTAATGTAAGTACGCCATGGAACAACTAAGCAAGCATAAAAATGTTGCATCCACGAAAGTGACTTTCACAAGTATTATATGATTAGTACTTCAAGAAATTTAATCAGAAACATTAGTCAAAGCCATTAATATTTTACTAAAATGTTGAACCTGTCACCAACGGCTGTACCTTTCAGAAATCTGTTAATTCAAAAAAAGATTCGATTAAACAGTAATTAAAGACAGACCAAAATTAGATTAGTGCCCAAGACTCACGAAATTGACAGTTATAACCATTATGATTCTTATTATTGTTAAACTTTTTTTTGGTTAAATCTATTATGTCGTCTTGCTTTGGCTGTATTCTATCATTATTGCCTTGTATTTCATAGTAGCTTTCAGTCTTGTTGGAATGTATTATTTTATTTTTATTTATTTATTTACTTATTTTTAAAAAGAAACTTTGGAAGGAGGCTAGGAGCTTTAATGTGCCATTTTAATTCAATCTTAAGAGTACCGTGTATGACATATTTACCACATTGTGTACCAATACTTGCATGATATGAATAACTGGATTTAATAAGATGGAAAAGGATACATTTGTCAATAGGTAACAATTATCGATTGATGCAATGATAGTGAGAATAATTAAAATATTTAAAAGGAGAAAGACTCTTTCCTATTAATATATTTTTTTTAATAAGTAATGGAGTCGTCCAAAAATAAATTCAAACAATATTGTATTATGATATTTAATTTCTTGACACACTGTGTCTCTCTTATACGTATATATGCATGTAGATTGAAACGACATTGATTAAAAAAAAAAAAAAAAACAAACCTTTATTTTATGCTATATATATGAATGCAACAACTTGTGTATATATATGTATACATTTTTTTTTTTTTTTTTTATAGGATCATGAGTTTGGACATGAAAATTTCTTACCAAAATTGAGTTGACTAGACTTCAAGTGTGAATATTATTCAAGGTCAAACTGATTTATACAATCTCTTTTTTCTTTGTAAAACCAAACATCAAAAGAAACCATTAAGAACCAAATTTTCTTAAGGACAATGTTTAGCTACTTACTGATGAGTAGGGTGAAGCTATTCACTCGTATGTGGTCCAATAAAAAAATAACACATCACCTTTAATAATTAAATAATCTACACATTTCTCTCCTTTTTTGGATCAATCATTAAATAAACGTATACAGTGTTTTTAGGTGTAAATTATTTAATTATTAAATGTGATGATTAAAAAATAATAATAATAAAATAAAAATAAAATTGTGATGTGTTATTTAATTACTGGATCACATAGGGGTGAGTAGCTATGCATTATCCTTTTCTTAATAAGTTAGGCGCATCAAAAAGATTTTTCACACGTTTTAACTAGTTTCTCTATACTGACCGAAATGTTAAATGGGAAAATTTATTTCCAATGTGTTGATTATTCTGTGAAATTTTCTTTTAATTTGAAAAGTTTGGGTTGAATTATTCCAAAGTCAAGAAATTTCTCATATATGTGTGTGTGTGTGTGTAATTTCCTTGAATTTGAGTGTGAGTCCATTGACCTAAAGAAGAGCATGTATGTTCTAAGACTATTCAATATATATATATTAGTGTACAGTGGATTGACCCTCTAAAATAGTATTAAGTCAAAGAACTAAATGAATAAATTAACAAATAAAGAAAAAGTGCAAATGGAAAAGGATATATATATATATATAAAAGAAATGTTTAAGTATATTTATGAATAAGAGAAGGTAAGAGTAATCTTCTAAGAGCTAATGATGCATGTTAATTCAAGTATCAAAGGAACTTAGCATAGTTTTTAATCCCATTATATGCACCATTATATATATATATATATATATGTATGTATAATTATTTATTACCCTCACGGATATAGCGGTGTCGACAGACTCCAGGAAGTAAATCCTTAATATTTTGCTTGTCGAATAACACTCCTGACTTGAATGGTGCGTATATTATGGGGCCGATACACACATCCTTTAAAGAAGAAAAAAAAAAAAAAAGTGTATATTTATTTTATCAAAATATTTTTAAGCATTAAAAAATAAAAATTAAAACACAGGAGTGAGAAATAAATTAAAATAAAATAAAAAAAGTGTATTTGCATTGATACCAAATTCATCGAACTCTTCTATGATCATTAATCAAAAAATTAATTTGAAATTACATGTTAATTAAAATAAAATAAGAAAAATTTATTGATAATGATTAGTGCTATACAAACACTAATTTTAATTATATTTTCACAAGCAAATAGTGTTCTTCTTTTAAAGAAAAAGAAGAAAAGAAAAGGTGTAATTATTTGGTACATTCAACCAAATGCAATTCTATGTTAAATTCAGCCGATGTCAACCGTTTGCATATACTTTTCAATGATAGAATAAAGATTTTTCAAATGGACCTGTTCTCATTTTTGTTCTATATAAAAGATCTTTTATTAATATGAAGAACTAAAGGACAACAGAAAAAGGACACAATATACAGCATCTGATAGCAACTACTAAATTAATTTTCAAATGAGAAAGAGGATATAAAACTATATATATATAAATTAGTCAAATGGGTCTGCTCTTATTTCTTCATTTTTAAAATCATTTATTTATTATCACAAGTACAAGTGACAATAATGTATAATATTTTTGTGAAAAAGACTTAAAAAATGACATGTACGATAATAATCATAATATATACACCACTGTGGAGAAAAGAGGTTAGAACCATAAATATGATTGCTATGTTTTTTTTTTAGTAATTAGCATTAATTTTACACTTAAATCACATCTTTCCTTTGACTGTTATGTTTTTATTTTTGAACTATTACAGTATTAATTTTGACAATAAAAGTATGTCTGGTACAGTCTTGTTTTATTTTATACAGTGTCAAAACACTTCGTGAACAGTGACCTAAAACTAAAATATCAAAAATTTATTTTTCTTATTTTGACAACTGTTCATGGCCAGTATCACAACACGGGCTTAACATTTTCATAACAAAACATCGTTACCAAATGGTATTTTCAATTTTTAACGCTCCAACACCAAAAAAGACTTCCTATTTTAACCAAAAACGAAAAAAGGGACCTAATTATACTAGTGTGGAGAAATTTATTACTTGCTGACTGTGGCAAAGATCATTTTGTTTAATTAATCAAAACAAAATACTGTAATAAATATCTTACAAAAAGGTTTGAAGTTATCAACTCTGGCGGCTTCAAGGTTGGTGCAGTTTTCTTTTACCCCAACCCTTAACCCTTAAACAACCACACCCCCCCCCCCCCCCCCCCCCCACTGGCCACCTCTCTCTCTCTCTCTCTCTCTCTCTCACACACACACACACACACACAAAACACGCATATTCACACAGCTTTGAAGATTCAACTAATAAAATAATGAGTAAAGACTGAGGAGGGTCAAACTTCATCCCCCTCGTGTATATATAGCTATAGCTATAGCTATCTAAGAGAACCTCCCTTCATATGTTGCTTTCAATTCTCTAATCAAATACACCTATCAATCCTTTACCTCTATAGTGCTCTCCTTCTCTTCACCAGTCTGGAAACCTTTGTCTTGACGCTTTAGAGTTAAGATCCAAAGCCGTTACGACAAAGATATACAGACGGGTTAATTAATACCGAGTGTATATATATATATATATATTTTGCATTTTTATTGCATCGATCCCCAAAGGCAAAAGAAAATGAAGTTTGGCAAGGAATTTGTGTCACAAATGGTGCCAGAATGGCAAGAAGCATACATGGATTATGACTACCTAAAGACCCTTTTGAAAGAAATCCTTCGTTTCAAAAAAAGAAACACGACGCCATACACACCAAAAGCACTAAAGAGAAGGCTCACACTTTACAGAGCTTTCAGTGGCCTAACAGGAAGAGGAGGACCCAACACGCCCACCAGCTCGAGCCCGGCCGACATGGAGAGCCAAGTCATTCTGGTGAACCCGGTGGGCCGGCAGGCCGACGGCTCCGGACGCCACGAGACCGTGTTCCTCCGGGCTTCAGAGGACGGAGGAGAGTACGAGACGGTTTATTTCAGGAGGCTTGATGATGAGTTCGATAAGGTTTTGAAGTTTTACAAGGGTAAGGTGGAGGAGGTGGTGAAGGAGGCTGAGATGTTGGACAAGCAAATGAATGCTCTGATAGCTTTCAGGATCAAAGTGGAGAGACCTCAGAGATGGTTCGATAGCTCGGCCGAGATGACTCGTCTTGCTTCCGACGTTGCTGCTTCAACAGCTCAATTATCGGCTTCCACTCCGATGTCAGCCAGAGCAAGCAGTAAGCAAACGCCATTCTCTAACAACTTATTTTTCTAAAAATATGAGTGTTAAAACCTTAAAAAATGACGATTCTTTATAATTAGGAGGGCCAAATGGGAATCCGTGTTACTGTGCATTCAAACGGAGCCTATATGGGTCATATATCAGGCAGGACCCACATGATTTGTCTGAATGCATCAGGTGATGGAAAATCCTTCCCGAAGAACTAAATATATATATATATATATATATATATATATATAGGGTTAGAAGTTAGACTAGGTGCGGAGAGTCGAATCTGATACTCTCAAAATCTACCGAAAGCACTAATCACTGTGCTATCGAGACATCTATAAATAACTAAATATATAAAGTTTCTGATTGTTGTCACGAGAGCCCTCTCTGAATAACATTCGTAATTCATTACTCTTTATACAATTAAAAGTTGGACATGAAACTGTTTTGATCTCAAGCTTAAGAAGTGCTCTAAGTTTTGAGGTTGAAATACACTTTTTGTTTTTGTTTACATAATTACATTTGAATGAATCTTAAATAAGTGTTTGATGATTTACCCAAATGGAGTGGTCTAGCTAGCCTCTTAGTTACAAGTTTGTACAAATCCTTATAATTTGCAGGAAGAGTTCAGATGGATGTAATAGAAGAGGATGACTCGAACAGAGGAGAAGATGAATCTAGTGATGATCATCAAGATGGGAAGGAAATGAAAAGTATCAACAAAAAAGTTGAAGAAAAGAAGCCAAACAACATTAGAGCCACTAGACCAGCTCGATTAGAGATACTCAACCATGTGAAAATCAACAACACTCGCGAGACTCCTCGTTCAACCATCAAAGCTTTCCTCAAAGTTCCTAATCAGACTGAACTCAGTTTCAGTAGGGAAACTCTAAAGAAAGTCGAAGATCAACTCAAGCGCGCTTTCATCCAATTCTATCAAAAGCTTCGCCTTCTTAAGAGCTACAGGTAACATATAGTATATGAAATTCAATCACAAACTTCGGTTAATTTCCAATTTTTTTTTTCGGTGGTCTAATTATATATTTGATTCTTCTGCTAATTAATAAACAGCTTCTTGAATATGTTGGCATTTTCAAAGATCATGAAGAAATATGATAAGGTAAAATCTTCTCAACTCAACAATCTTTGTATATTACATTTGTTTCACTTAAAGAAAACTATGCTAAAAATGGAAAATCCATTGCATTCTTTATTGTAGATAACTTCAAGAAACGCATCAAAACCTTATTTGAAGATGGTGGATGACTCTGACCTCGGTTCTGATGAGGTGAGCTTTATTTATATATTAAGTGAAGGATAGTCTCAACACCAAATATATTCGAACTTTAGTCTGTTAATTCAAGATATAATACAATGTGTGTGCGAGTGTGTGTATGTGTGAAAAAATGAATTTTTGTCCAATGCACTTTGTCTTTAAAATGGTTCACTCTGCTGATCTATTCTCTATATGGCATTAAATATATAGGTTGCCAAACTTATGGATAGGGTTGAAGCTACATTCATCAAGCATTTCTCCAACTCGAATCGTAGCAAAGGAATGAACGTCTTAAGGCCAAAAGCAAAGACAGAAAGGCATAGAACAACATTTTCCACAGGTAAGACTTCAAACAACAATATCTATATATGATCCATTGATTCTTATCAGAGTTGTTCATATTAGAGGAATTGCTTTTCCCTTACAAAATCCTCTGTTTTTGAAAAAATTTAGGCGTTGTCGTTGGCTGCACAGTCTCTCTCATAGTGGCACTTGTTTTGCTTGTTCGTGCTCGCAATATTATAGAAAAAGAAGGGCAAAAAACATACATGGAAACTTTGTTTCCACTTTACAGGTAATTCATAAAGAAATCAAGGCCATTGAGCTATCAGTTTATTATGATAGATTTTAGCTCGATGCAGAGTCATTTAGTAAGTGAAAACTTACACAATGCTCAACCACCTTTGCAGCTTTTTCGGATTCATTGTCCTTCACATGCTTATGTATGCTGCAAATATATTCTTCTGGAGGCGATACCGAGTCAATTATTCATTCATATTTGGTTTCAAGGAAGGAACTGAGCTGGGTTACCGGGAAGTTTCCCTCATCAGTTTTACTTTATCAGTGCTAGCATTAGCCGGCGTGCTTGCTAACCTTGATATGGAAATGGATAAGAAAACCCTAGATTACAAAGCATTCACAGAGCTTGTCCCTCTGTTATTACTAGTGGTAAGTAGCTTGTTAATTTCACACAGCCTAGCTCTTTGCATTGTCTCACTTCCAAAGTAAGCTTTAAACTGAACCTATTTCTGTATCTGCAGCTTGTGATTGTCCTAGTGATCTGCCCCTTCAATATCATGTATCGAGCAAATCGCTTCTTCTTTCTCACATGTTTGTTTCACTGCATCTGTGCTCCTCTCTACAAGGTAAAAGAATGGTGGAGACTTAATAGGAAAAGGTTTAAGAATTTCAATAATGCATTCGACTAATCTGTGATTTTTTCTTCCTCTTCAGGTGACACTGCCAGATTTTTTCTTGGCAGATCAGCTAACTAGTCAGGTACATAAATGGTCCACACAATGCTAAGTTTCAATCACTAATTATAACTTCTTGATTGAAATGGTACTTATAAGTGTCAATTTTACTGTGCTGTTTCAGGTTCAAGCAATTAGAAGTTTGGAGTTCTACATTTGCTACTATGGTTGGGGAGACTACAAGCACAGAGATAACAGTTGCAAATCAAGTGCTGTTTACAACACTTTCTATTTCATAGTTGCCGCGATTCCATATTGGTGGCGCCTCCTTCAGGTACCTCTCCCTTTCCGTATTACCATCCATCTTGAAGGTTTTTCTACGAGTTAATTTCGAAGATAATTAGAAAAAAATCGAACTTAATCTCCCATTTGACCTATTTTGCTCCTTTAATAAAAAACTACAACTTATTTCATTTAGTTATCTAAAAACAGTTCTTAAGAACTCAGAAAACAGAAAATTGTTTTCAGAAATTGTCAACCAAACAGACTTTTGTACAGTTTGGTGAAGCACGGCCTAATGTTCTTCCCAATTTGACTGAAACTGTGTTGCACTAAGTACTATCTAGTCTTCATGCAATCAGAGGTGCCTAAAATGGTTTGTTTCCTTTTCAGTGCCTCAGGCGCCTGTACGAAGAGAAAGATGGTATGCAGGGACTCAATGGGTTGAAATATTTCTTAACAATCGTAGCCCTTAGTACAAGAACAGCGTACGCTCTTAGCAAAGACGTGTACTGGAAGATGGCAGCCTGGGTATTCTCTGTCAATGCTGCAGTCTTCAGTGCATATTGGGACATTGTTTTGGATTGGGGGCTTCTTCAAAAGAAGTCTGAGAATCGTTGGTTGAGAAACAAGCTTCTTGTCCCACACAACAGTGTGTACATTGTTGCCATGGTGAGTAGAAAGAACGAGCCAGGACATCTAGTACTCTTTGATTATGTTGATTAAAAAAAAAAAAAATTCTAACATAATTGATGAAATATGCAGGTCTTGAATGTGTTGTTGAGATTTGCTTGGCTGCAATCAGTGTTTGATTTCTCAGTTTCTTTCATGCATAGAGAAACCTTAATAGCAGTTGTTGCTGCCTTAGAGATCATTCGTCGTGGCATATGGAATTTCTTCAGGTAATTTAAGTTAGGATTTTAATTTCTTCACATGTGGGCCATGCGGCCTTCTGTTAGAAAGGGTCTAACTTTTATATTTAAATCCTTCAACATATTTGTTCATTAATATTCAGGTTGGAAAATGAACATCTGAATAACGTTGGCAAGTATCGCGCATTCAAGTCAGTACCACTACCTTTCAACTATGATGAAGATGATGACAAAGATGAGTAGAGCAACAACAGTGTGCAAAGAACCAACCAAAAAGAGTGAAGTACAAGAAGAACAGATGAAGAAGACAAATAACAGATAGACATGTTCGGAATGTGAATGTAGCCTATTTTGTTTTTCAAATTTTCAATTGTTTTGGGTGGATTCTTTGTAAATGTAGATCTTGACAGTGAGAAGAAGTGAATCCAATTCATTTGTAACACTCGGTTACCCCACAATTCATTGTCTCTAATGTTGCAAAAAAACTTACAGAAAACCTAAAACAGACCCTCAGACTAAAAAGGGCTAGCAAAAGTCACGAAGCTCCCACCGCTACAGAATCTAAGGAGGGTCAGATCTACGCAGTCTTACCTCTACATATGGAGAAGCTATTTTCCATTTCAAAACCGTGACCTTCAAGTCACAATGGAGCAACCTTGCCTGCCCTCAACTTGACATTGTTTTATGCATCAACCAGCATTCCTTCAAATTCCAGTAGTGCATCAACCTACAAATTGTGATTTTCTGACTGTATCTATTACATTTGGAAAGAGAGAAATAGCCGTACCTTTTCAGGGAAGCATTCTTCCGCGGAGATGATTAAGAAGCAAATTGATGAATGTATTCCAAGTCCTCTCCTTTCTAAAAAAACAAATTCACTGATTGTAAAAGTGCTAGATCAACCACTGCTGCGCGGAGTCTCCCTAGCCGGCTAGCCCAGTGCCTCCCATTGATCTTGCTTTTGCCCTGTTTTCTGTTGCTCCAATGGCTGTTTCAAATTGCTGTTGCAGCAACGGTCAATTAAGTTGGGTTGGGTTGGGTTTTATATTTGTTGCCTTTGGGCTTGTTCGGTTGTTGGGCCGTATACAGTATTTATCTAACAAGCAACGAACAGCTGTTTTGTGCTTGTTTGCACTTCCTTTTCTTATTCATTTAGGTTCCGTTTGTCCGAACATAAAATATTTTTCATTTTTCATTTTATGGTATTTAGTTGTCGTAAAATATTTATTAATAAAAAAAAAATTAAAATTTAACAAAAATAAGTTATTCATCAATTTTCGGCAAGCTATTTTACAGGTTCCAGACTCAACCTCAACCTCAACATTTGCCCAACACCGAAAAAAAAATAATAATAATTAATTAAAAATAATAATTTACCCAAAAAGAATATATATTTTTCCAAAAAAATATTTGATGCTCCTTAGGCACTAACATGTAATATGGAACACTTTGAAGCAATAATAATGAATGAGAAGTTAAAACGGAATAACCAATAGAGTGATAAATACGTGACGTGACAGAAATTCTTATCATCACAAATGAATTTAGAATTGAACTATTAATGTTCAACTACTGCGGTTATCAATTAACCAAATAAATGTAATGTCTTCATTTTCTGTCATCCTGTAGTGGAAATAGAAGAAAAGATTTGACCAGTTTGATAACAAAAGTATATATTACAATAATATATATTAAAATATAACGCAGCCAATCTTTGTTACTCTTTTTTAATTAGTCAATCTTTGTGAATCTTCTTCCATTAGTTAGAACTTAGACTTAATGATTTATTACCTACCCACAAATCACTTTTAAGAACATTCAATTAGCAACTAATAACATATATTTCTTTTCGGTGAGTGGGAATAAAAAATTATTCAAAAAGGTCTGTCCTCATTTTTGTATTCTTTGTTTTTTTTTTTAACACCACCTGATTTTTGTATTCAGAAAGTACAAAATTGCATGGGCATATATAGTATAATACAATACACCACGAAATTAATTAATGATGCAAATGGCAGACAAGATAAGAATGATTCAAATCATATAAGCCTGCTCTGATTTCATCATTTTTAAAATTTCTTTACCCTTTTTAGGCATTTACAAAATCCATATAAACTGAGCTATACAAATTAAGGACTTAAATAATCAAATGAGCATGTTCCGATTTCTTAATTTTCAACGTCACCTCTTTTCCAAGGGGTCGATTGTGATGATCATATGGACGGATTTGTTGTGGGTAGGTGCGAGATACTGATAGACTATCACACTGACAAATTACGAATGCACAATTCCACATCGCCTGAGAAAGGGAAAAGAGAAGTGCTTATATGTAGGTGTGTCACTTCAACTGGTATGAGACCTTTTGGAGTAAAGTTCAAGAACAAAACATGCGAGCTCATATCCAAAGCGAATAATATCATACCAAGTGGTGGAGTGGGTCGTTACACAATCCGTAAACCCTCGGCAATTGAGTTGCAGCTAATCATAAAACCATGGCCTTTTAGGGCATTGTACCTACTGACTACTTTACCAAATGGGTTGAGGCAGTGCCCATGAAATCAGTGCACCAGGAAGATGTGATTCGATTTATCAAACAACATATTATTCATAGATTTGGGATTCCAGAATCAATCACAACTGATCGAGGTTCAACCCTTATTGCTAAAGAAGTGCAGAGTACGGGATCAAGTTCCTAAATTCAACCCTGCATTTTGCACAAGGAAATGGTCAAGCCAAGTCATCTAATAAGATGTTAAAAGACATCATTGAAAAAATGGTGGAAGACAACCCTAGGGTGTGGCATGAACTGTTATTAGAAGCACTTTGGGCATACAGGACTTCTCAGCGGTTAAGCACAAGTGTAACTCCATTCATGCTCACCTGTGGTCATGATGCAGTTTTGCCCATGGAAGTGACTGTGCGATCAATGAGATTTACATTGCAAAATAATTTAACTCCTACGAAATACAATGAATCTATGTTGATCGAATTGAAAGACTTAGATGAAGTAAGGTTAAAGGCTCTCGACCACATACAAGTTCAGAAGAGATGAGTAACAAGGGCATATAACAAGCGTGTTAGGGCCAAAACCTTCAGCGAAGGTGATTTAGTTTGGAAGACTGTCCTCCCAATAAGTGTGAATGATCGAAAATATAGAAAAATGGTTGCCAAATTGGGAGGGTCCATTTATGGTTTACAAAGTCTTAAAAGGAGGTGCATACCATTTGCAAGATCTTGACGGGGAGATACACCCCCGGCCAATTAATGGCCGATACTTAAAAACTTATTATCCTACAATGTGGGAGACGATGGAGAATGAAGCCAAAAATGGTTAAATAATCAAAAAAACATAGAGACATGCATTTCATTCATTGTTCCATTGAGTACAAAGTTAATAAGAGTTCACATATCATTTTCTTTGCAGATAAATAAACTGACTCTTGAGCTCATCCCACTCCTTCTTAGACATGGCCACTTTTTCATCCTCTTAGGCCTTCTCAGTCCTTAGCCGAGGAATTTCTTTTGAGACCGATACACTTTGTTGGTCAATTTCCACATTCTTTTCATAAATCTCCTTTATCTGAGCAGCGAGTTCCTCTCTTAATCGAGCATTCTTAGTCAACTCCAGCAGCGAGTTCCTCTCTTGATCGAGCATTCTCAGTCAACTCCAGCTTGAAACGTTCCATCTCCCGTTCGATTTCTGCTATTCTCTGGGTTCCCTTCACATAAGCTGATTGCAAGGTACGAAAATGGGAAACATTTTCCTTCGCTTGATTAGTCAGAATTTTTTGCTCTTGCAACTTTTCATTGATCGTGGATGATAACTCACCAGCCTTCTGCAAGGAAAGCTGAAAATCAAAAGCAAGAGTCGGGAATCGGCTTTGGACAGATTGAAGATAGTTTATCTGTTCTTGACTTAAGTCATGATGATCTACTAGCACAGACATAGCATCGGTCACATCAGTAGCTAAACTTGGCATCTCAAAGAGGTTTCGGGACACGATGGCAACTAGTAATCTTTTTGCTCCCTCAATATCTGGTAGATGACTAGGAGGTGTAAGCGCGATAACTGACTCACTCGTCAAGGGATCTAAATCGAACCCAACCTCTACTTGTGAGAAATAGGCATCAAAATCATCGATTGTGCCATAAGTTTGAAGGGGTAATTGAAGCTGAGAACTTGAGCCAACCTGCGAAGGAAACGAATTTAGTAAAGCAAGTCGAGAATTGAATGAGAAGATAAATCATAAATACTCTAGGAGAGGAGTCAGTGCCTAGGACACTGGCTAACACTTCACTAGTGCTGTAAATATATGTAGCAATGACCTCCTTAATACGTTTTTGAACAATCCCGACCTGATTGGAAGATTTGCTACTGGCCGTAGTTGACATATTCTCAGTAACAATCGTTACATTCTAATTACCACCCATTGGCTGAGATCCTAAGGACAAGAAAATGAAGCTAAATTAGAGAAGAATTAGTGAGAAGGATAAAGCCAAAATTTTGGTTTTACTGACAAAAAGAAAATTTCACTTCAAAATACGCATTGGTCGACTGGCCGGAGCCGATGTATTTATGGTGGCAACTGTTGAATTTCTCGTGACACTTAAAATCCGGTGAAGAAATGGAGTTCAATCAAATGACCAGAAGGAAGAATGAACAGAGAGTTGCTTTTTAAATTCTTTAGCGGAGGAAACGTGATGAATGATGGTTTGCAGGGCATTCGGAAAAAAGGCTTTCTTTGTTCTCTGTTGAAGTTTAATTTGTCTGAAATAACATTTTGGAGATGTGATTTATAGGCGCAGGAAGTTGTTCAAATCGTTTTACTCCATGGGAATAGTTTAAGTGACTCTAAGATTTTCAGATTTAGGTCTGCTGCCAGAAAGGGAAATGTCTTGTCAGACACCTTTGAGTACCCATGGGGTAATGCATTTTCAGCTTAGATATTCCTTGAACCCAATGGTTTGTACTTATTTGAGCACGTGAATCTGCTATAAACCAACTACGTCTACATTAGTTGTTTGCTGTACACAACTATATCTAGAGAGATTTGCATTGACCCCCAACCCAGCCCTCAAAATGAGACAACAAAGTCCATTCACGTGCTCAAGTATATGTCTGTACCAATCTTTGACTTACAATTTAATTTAAATTATTGGTCAATACCCATTAAAAAATGGGTTTGCATGATAGTTGTTTGCTGAAAGATGCTGCATGATGTATATGTACACACAAATTTTGTAAGTCTGCAATAGAAACAAAATATGGAGCAAAATAGAATTTTATTAATTTATGAATGTGGAGTACAGTCCTTTGTAATATCTTTTACAAAAAAAGAATGGTCCTCTGATTCGATCTCCTTGTTTTTGGTTGGTTGGATCCAAGGGCTGCACGAGCTTGTTCTTGAATCACTGTGGAATTTGATGAAGAACG